AAGTGGGATTGCTGAATAATTCTATTCGATCCTTTCAACCTCCTGTCCTCTTCAAATCTGATATAAACGAGAAGTTGATACATGGAATCTCTTTCTTAATTAATCCAAAGGCTTGAACTTCATATCTCAGTATTGTATGATATCTTCATAATCTGCAGAAGATAATTTTGTAACATTGAAGTGCATATATCTTTTAGGTAAAAGGTTGATCATATTGGCAGTCGATCAGATTTTCATACTATTAATAAAAAAATGTATGCGAAATATTAATACTATGTGAACTATACGCACTATCAAAATTATACAGAGAACCAGTATTATGCAGAGTATTAGAAGGATTAATTCTACACATAGTATGAAGACTATTTGTAATATTAGTAAAAAATGTGCATAAAAAATTAATATTACATGAAGTATCAGAAGTATCAGGAGTATCAGAAGTATTAGTGCTATGTGCAATATGAGATCTATCTATTCTATAAAAATAATTTTCCTCATATTCATTTACTAGGAAGTTCAGCATAATCATATATGCTTTCTATTTCTTTATCTTAGCCATTATTTTGGTTAGCAAAGCTAACATCAGTAGGATATTCTTAGTTATTTACGCATAGGATTTATATCAGTATTTCTTATATTTAATTACTCTGAACATAGTTTTCTTACAGTTCATACCGTCGTTCGAGTATCTAAGTTGATTTTCAATTATATATTTTTTATTATACTAGCAACTAAGCCAGAAAAAAGGCTATAACTAATATATATATCTTGAAAGATATCAATAATAATGGTCGTCAGCTTGGTAGTGTATATGAGCAAGAACTTGAAAAAAAATTATATTCCGCCTTTAAATCTAAAGCAGAAATCAATAATCTTAGCGAAAAATTGGTAGATAAGTATTCAGGAAGAGAGAAGAAGTTTAAGCAAATCTATGCTAATATCAGAAATAAAGTTAATCAGATGAATGTGCTTAATACTGAGCTTAGATCCAAATTTACTTCTGAATGGATGACCCATACTGAACTTGAAGCTAAAATCAAATTGCTTAAATCGAATATTAAAACACTAAAGAGAGAAGTAACTTTAGCTCAGAAAGCTTCATCTGCTGACAAGATCAAGATTCTTTTTCTTGAAGTTAAAATATGAGAATTGGAAGGTAAGTTGGAGGACCTGAAATCAGATCTGATGTTTCATAATTCTGATATAATAGGAGGAATGATAGAAGAGTTAGCTCAAATAAATAGTTCCTCTAGAACTAACTTATTTGAAATAGAATCTCTTAGGCTTGAACTGGAGCGAGCAAATGAGGATCTTAATTCAAAAAAACATGAAATAGAATGTATAGAAAAAAGAATAGAATCATCAAATAACATATACAATCAGATGATAGATTCTTTATTTTTAGCATGATCAAATTTACTCGAGAAAAATGCTTATCTTTAAGAATTACTATTGAAGAAAGAGCTGAGAGGTATTTCGCATAATTAATTAGATCCTTCATCCCTGCCTATAAATGATTTATCGTAAAAAATTCCAGGTTGGGTTAGTGATAATCTAAGACCCCTCATTCACGAGCTTAGTTTCAAAGATAAGGTGAGGAAACTTGGTAAAAAGTATGTTAAGAAAGATATTTTAGAGATATTGTAAGAGTTATTACCTCAGGATGAGATGGTTCCAAGAAGCGGTCTTAGAATGACTGGCCAGGCAGATACCTTACCTAATCAGTCCGTTTATAGTTTACCAGCACATTCTAAAAATTTTATTTCGAGAAAAAGGATTGCGAAGCATTCAGGTAGTGCAGAAGTAATACCATTGTTCTAAGAAATGCCTTTAGCAATTTCCTCTAGAATCGCACTGGCTATCCCTGCCGTTGAAAGTTCCTTAATGTCATATATCATACTTATCTTATTTCTTCTTGCAGTTATATGGATCATTGGAAAAAAAATTTGGGATTCGTAAAGTAGTAAGCTGAAAGAAAAAAGTAATACCCCTTCTAACCAAAATTATTTTTTATCATCTCTGGGCATTTTCGAGACTAGGTTATATGATTGGAAGTTCAAAGATAGGAATTGAAGTTAGCTGGTATTATTGCATGAGAAAAATATCTAAATAATATTATGTGAAGCACCTTATGACTAAGTTTCTTAGCTGAAATTATTACATTCCGTTAAGAGTACTTAACAATATAATTTGATAATTTTGTCTATATTCACTTTAGATAAATATCTTTTTTGTCATTCTGTAACTTTGATAATATTCGATAGCATGTAATTTCTAGGCCAACTACTTTATACTATGTGTTTCACAAATCAGCTAGTAATTTACACTTATCTGAATAATATAATAAATATTGTTCTATAGTCATGGCTTTTGATTTGCATTTACTGGCCTTAATAACTAATTTATACATACTATTTCTATACTCTATATCAATCTCAGAAATTTCTTTAAGCAATGATAAAAGTTTTAAGCGGATAGAATCCTCTTGCTTATCTAATACATTGAAGAAGGAAGTGTAATAAGCATTATTTTCTGAGCATTTTATTATTCTATTAGCATAAGTAGTATCAAATAAAGTTTTTATGTAAATGCGAGTCTCTTAAGGTTCATTGAATCTGGCTTTTGCCTCGCATCAATATCTAGAACTAGGTGAAGAGGCAGATTCCATCAATGCATTCATGAGCATCAGAGATTCTATAAACTTCAGATAGATGATTGATTATTATAAAACCTTTTCTAGATACTTGAATAATATATTTTGAATAAATCTCTTTAGAATGATAGGCGTCTAAAAAAGAGATATCATTTTTATTATTAGACAAATATTGGAAATATACATGATCATCATAGCCAGGCTCATAGTCAAGGTCTGCTAAATCAGAAAAGAGCCTGATTACTTCATTTATTATTTTAAGGTGAGGCCCAGCATTTTTTTGCGCAAGTAGCATAATACAATATATGGAAATACTAAGTATAAAATTACATGTAAATTTCCCAAATCTTCAAAATAAAATTTTAGATAAATATGCTTGCTGATAAAATACTAAATCAGTAGTAGTACCTAAAAGTAAACGATGAGGTAGTATCCAAAAGTAATCAATGCAATAATAACCCAAAGTAATCATATATAAGATACCCCAAAATAGCAACTATACGAGAAAGAATTCTAGGAAGGCTTGGGTGAAAACTAGAATATAAATTTATGGTAGTACACCAAAGTAGAATAATATATAAAAAGAAAATAAGAAATTATGCTTTGGTGTACTACTGTTGATAGGCAGGAAAAAGATCAATGTGGTAGTATCCTAAAGTATTCTGGAGTAGTAACTATACAGGAAAGAGTTCTAGGAATGTAAGAGCAAAAAATAAGATATAAATTTAGTAGTACACCAAAGTAGAATAATATATAGGAAAGAAAATAAGAAATTATGCTTTAGTGTACTACCGTCGATAGACAGAAAAGAGATTAGAAAGGCAGAAAGATTTAGAAGAATACACAAAAAAGGTATGAAAGCAATATAGCCTAAATTAATTTAGCATTTCGTGTCTTAAAAAAGATAATATAGGAATAAGATAAAATAAAAAAGAATGCTTTCTCATATAATAAACTCTGACCTAGAAAATGACCCAGTAAATTTCTGCCCTAGGATATGAAATTGGCATATATATACCAGCACAATAATTAGGTTGCAAAATGATGTACTTTTAGTAATCAAAAGGATCTAGGTCAAAATAATACATATTGTATCTCTAACTTCAGAATGTGAAATCAGCATACACATACCAGTAACAAATAGGCAATAGTTGGGTTGTAAAATGGCATCAGCTTCAATCTTTCAAATTGTATATCTCAAAATCACTTTATCCTGGTAATCAAATGGACCAGATATGACCTCTTGAAAGTTATGCGAATTGAACTTTTTTACATGTAATACTCGCATAGATATTACTATACCCGATATTTACACTATATTTGATTAAGATGAAATATAATAGAAATATTACGGAATATGAATATATTTTATAAGATGAATAAGATAAATAAAATAAATATTATGCTTACTCGTTTTGTAATAATGGTTTAACAACATCTCATAAAATTATGTATTGAATCAAGTGATAATAATTTGAACTTTAGGATGCAAAAATAGCATACTTATACTGATGTAATAGTTGGATCACAAATGGTACACTTCTGGTAATCAAATGGATCAGGCTAAAGGGCATAATAACTCAGCATCCAAACAAGTATATGAAACTGATAAACTAATAGAACTATACTAGTTCCTCACCACTTCTATAATGCTACTATAATACTAACTTAGATCCTTCAGATTATATGCCTAAAAGATCGATCAGAAATTATGCCATAGTATTGACCAAATTTAGACGTAGATTTATATCAAATTTACTGTATCACCTATCATCTTTTTTTACATGATTTCAGCATCTAGAAAGGCAACTAAATAGGTATAAGGAAAAGCACTCTAACATAGAATCTAGTATCCAATCAGGCACAGGAGATCAGCATTTTCAACATAAAACCAGGTATTCAAATAGCTACAGAAGGCCAATAATCCAATTATAGAATTTAGCATGTAAATAACTCAGAAACAAGAAGAAAATCATGGTATTTAGATTATATAGTAGTAGTTAGATTAAATAGTAGGTAGTAGTTAGATTATATAATAGTAAAAAAAAGTAGATAGCAAGAAAGATTTAAAAAGATAGCTAGAGCATAAAAAAGATACCTAATACATAAAAATAAATAGATTATATGGTAGTAATTAGATTATATTATTTAGATTATGTGGTAGTAATTAGATTATATTATTTAGATTATATGGTGGTAATTAGATCATATAGTGGTATTTAGATTATATGGTGGTAATTAGATTATATGATGGTATTCAGATTATATGGTGGTAATATAATCTAAGGCAAGTAGGATACCACCATATAATATAATTATATTATATGGTAGTATTCTACTGCAATTCTTAAGAAAATTTGACCAGGTCAATTAGCCACCAACAGAATATAGGGATAGAGGTAACAGCATTAGTAGTATTAATGTAAGCTTTTACTGAATGAAGATCATTTTGCAAAAGATCCACAAGCATCACATTTTTTATTGATCTAGTATTTCGTTTTTCTTTTAAACAAACATCATAACTATGAACAGTTAGCTCTTTGAGCTTCATTTCATTATTCACAAACAGAATCCCTAGCATTGGTTATGAGAAAATAAATATAGTGACATAAAATAGTTATCAATTCCAACTTTAATTAATGAAGCATCAACTAATGCAGGATTATAAACGTCTTGCTTTAATATTGCCAGCTCATTCTCTATTGAATTAAGTAAAACAGTAGCAAGATATAATGCTGTTGATGTTGTGACTGTATTAAGCATTCTTTTAATATGAATGCTGTGATAATCATCAATATTTAAAACTATCGCATTATTGACACTTCCTGAAAGCCTTGATTCTACAGTCTTTGAATGCTTTTTAGATACAGCATCTTTGTGATAAGAAATAGTGCAAGAAGTTTTTATCAAGCCTAATGTTGCCAAAGTATCTATAGTCAAATTAGGGATTCCAATAGAATTTAAATATATACTAAAATCTCTTTTTACATTATTAACAAATTTATTTTTAATGTCACAAAGATAATAACATAAAAAACTAATTACCTTAATACTTTTTCATTGTACCTTTATTCTTTGTTGAAGAATTAGTTAATAAGTACAATTCATCAAAGAAATGCTTCAACCACTCATCATTTGATTTCATAAGCAAATGAAATTTTTCAAATACCCAAATTGGTGATAACAAGTTACACTTCCTTTCATAGAGAATAGTTGTAATTATCCTCATAGCCTGTAAAAAAGACAAAAAATCGTTGTTAGAAGTTTTTAGTTCAGGCTCAAGCTCATTATGAGGTTGTACTAGTGCATATTGTTGAAATTCAGAAGAAACATTAATAATGATTGCATTATAACATTATAAGTATATAACATCATTTTCTTTGATATAAAAAGGAAGTGTTTTGTTAGCCTTTTTATGAGATATCACCATGCCAGTAACAGTTTACCATGTTACAGAACTTTTTTTACAAATTTTTATAGTGCACGGTTCTTTGAGTTTCTTTATTTTACTCATAAAGTTACTATTAAGCTAATACTTCTTGAATAAGCGATTATTAGAAATTAATTTTGACAGTAATGTTCTAACGCTTTAATGAAGCTATATGTACAAAAAAATTTTTAAACTGTATAAATAATGTGACTATTAAATAGGAAATTGATAGCCAATCACGTGAATTTCTTCTTATATAATATGTGCAGATCATAAAAGTCTATGTGTTTGGTATTTTTACGTATTTTTAAAGCATTTCTAGTAATAAATTATTTTGAACAAATCTTATCAGATAAGTATAAATTCCTAGACTATTATTGACACTACTAAAAGTAAGACGATTTTACATATTCTTTCTGAGAAGAGTCTGACAAGCTCTTGCATTGCTTGGTATCATTTGCTCAAAAGGATATGCCTAAGATTAAAAAGGCTATCGGTCAGTTATAAAATTGTTTTGAGGCAAGTGCTTTCTATTTTCCTTTCTTTGATGCCATGACTCAGAAAGATGTAAAGGTCCTGCTGAAGCCCTGAAAAAGGATAATATATTTCCATAATTATAGTCAAGTCTAGGGTTCTAAATAAGTTGAGTCAAGTCGAGTTTAAAGACCAACTCTATTCAACTTATTTTTTTCGAGTCGAGTCGAGCCAAATTTATTTTATAAAATCTTTCAATTTGATTTGATTCGAATTATATAAATTTTAAACTCAACTCAATTTGACTTGACTTGATTTTAACTCAATTCAATTTGAAAAAAAACAATAAAAAAAACAAAAAGATGGGAAGGAGAGCAAACGATTCATTATCGTTCTTCTTGAATGATTTTTTTTATCATTCAAGTTAAATGATTCGAGTCATTATTCTTTTTGAATGATAAAAAAAATAATTCAAGTCAAACGATTTAGGTCATTGTTCAAGTTGAACAATTCAGATCATTGTTTAAGTTGAACAATTCAGATCATTGTTCAAGTCGAACAATTTAGATCATCATTGTTTTTCTTGAACAATAAAAAAAATCGTTCAAGTTGAACGATTCATTATCGTTCTTCTTGAATGATAAAAAAATATTATTCAAGTTGAACGATTCATCATCATTCTTCTTAAACAATAAAAATATCATTTAAGTTGAACGATTCGTTATCGTTCTTCTTGAACGATAAAAAAATCATTCAAATTGAACGATTCATTATCGTTCTTTTTGAACGATAAAAAAATATCATTCAAGTCAAATGATTCATCATCGTTCTTCTTGAATGATAAAAAAAATTGTTCAAGTCAACTTGAGTTAACTCAAATCAAGTCAAGTTTAAATCAAGTTAAGTTAAATATTTAACTTGACTTGAATTTGACTTGACTCACAAATCATCAAGTCAAAAAAACTTAAATTCAACTCAATTTAAACTTGACTCAGTTTATCTGACTTGCGAGTTAACTCGACTCATTCAGAACTCTAGTTCAACAATTATCTGAAAAAGAAGTCCTTGCAGTAAATCATCTTATTAAACTATGTAATATCTTAAAGGTTCAAATGAAGATAAAATTATCTCTCCCTATCTTCAAATAAAGTAAATAAATATATTACTCAAACTTTTTATAAGAACAAATCTACATATCAAAAATTACAAATATCTAATACAAATCTAAAGATTGATTACAGAAAACTTCATCGGCAAAATCAAACTTTAATTAAAAAAACACAATCTCTTAAGGTACAAAATATGCATTTTTATAACCAAAATGTAAATTGTATATTTAAAATGTGATCATTGGTTCATCACATAAATACAACTTTTCATAAGCAATTAAAATCTATTTTCAAATAAATAAATGAGAATACACAACCAATACTGTTTAGATTATAACTAGTATCTCCCAAATTAGTTAAATATCATTACGTTCTACTATAGAATGTATGTAGTTAATCTATGAATTTCTAGTTGGAGAGCTATCATAAAATTGGTTAACAGTATTAACATTGCATACTTGGCATTAAGATATTTCTAAATTACATATTGATACTCAAATTCATCAGGTAATTAATACCCCATCATTTGAAATCTTAGTTGATGAATCAACATAAGGTAAAACAAAAAACTTTGTTTTATGCTATCAATTTTGGAATCAAAAGAATCAAATACCAGTTGTAACTGTAGCTCATTTTGAAGATATTTCTAATTATAATGAAAATACAGTATTTAATACTATTATAAAGTATAGTCATAACAAAATAGTTTAGATTTTGCTAAATATGTATTATAGGTGACAGATAATACAGCCTATATATTTAGTAAAAAAAGGGACTATTGTTCTTTTTAATAAAAAAAGTAGCACAAATTCAATTCAAATTGGCTGTAGACTTTACATTATTCAAATTATACTTAATAATTTTAAACAAGAAGCATTTAGAATAATTTTAAATAGTACTAATTTCTCAAGAAAATTTCATATATACAATTTACTTTATTTAACGTAAAAGCTTCATAATGATTATAATTTAAGTGACAAAAATAAGCCACTTAACATAAATGCTTATATTATTCAAGAATTATATGATAGACTACTGAAATTTCATTATAATCAATATTAGTTACCTCTTCGATCTTATTGGGATTATAAATTGCAAATAGCTAAGCAGTATCTTGATAGTCATTCAGCTCATATTGAATTTACAGATTGGTTTATTAATGAATTGAAAAACTATAAAAAAATACCTAAATCTTATCTTAGTGATTGGCATATTTTCAAATCTTGACTTGCTAATCTAAAACTTAATATTCAAGTTAAATGTTTAATTAACTTTGCTAAGCATTTTTATAAACCTCTAATACAATTTATAGTAGGATAAGATAATATTTCATGATTATATGAAGATAGATAATTAATTATATTGCCTCCAAGGTAATATGCTCATAAAATACCTGACAAAATTTTTGAATAGTATAGATTTATTCAAAACCTTACTAGCAACTTTGACATATTTTTTTTAAATCAGCTTTTAGAGGCTGTAGATTTGTTCTTTTATAAATATTTTAAGATTCTCTTTAATAATTTAGAGTATGAAATTGTAAAAGCCTTAAAATCTTTTTAAAAATAGTTTTCACCATAGCTTTATTTACCATTGGTAGTTTATTGGCTTGGAGAAGATAATACACAATTATTTGTATCTAGCTTTTATCATGTTATTTTTCAAAAATTCTGGATTTTACTAGAATTTACAATACTATTTTCAGCCTAGTTAACAGTGATAAACTTTTGATTTTATACTAGCACAAGTTAAAATTCTTAGTCTTTAGTGATAAATTCTTAGGTTGATACTTAGTATAAGCTAGAACTAGAGCTTTGAATAGATCAATTCAGGTCAGGTTAATCAAGTTACCTGAATTAAGAGAATCAGATTAGATCAAACAAAAATTTAACCTGATTTAAATTTTCACTTGACCTGACCTGACCTGATCAATAAAAATATCATTTAAGAATAATAAAATTATGATTCAAAAATAATAAATTATTCTAATTAAATGATAAAATATTATTCAAAAATGATAATGAATCATTCTAATTGAATGATAAAATATAATAAAAATATCATTCAAGAACAATAAAATATGATTCAAAAATAATAATAAATAGTTCTAATTAAACGAAAAAATCATTATTCAAAAATAATAAAACTTTGATTCAAGAATGATAAAATATCATTCAAGAATAATAAAATCATCATACAAGAATAATAAAACTATAGTTTAAGAATGATAAAATATCATTCAAAAACAATAATAAATCATTCTAATTAAATAATAAAATATGCATTTAAGAATAATAAAACTATTGTTCAAGAATGATAAAAATATCATTCTAGAATAATAAAATCATCTTTTAAGAATGATAAAACTATTATTCAAGAATGATAAAATATCATTCAAAATAATAATGAATCATTTTAATTAAATGATAAAATTATTATTCAAGAAAAATAAAAATAATAGTTTAAGAATGATAAAATTATGATTCAAAAATAATAATGAATCATTTTAATTAAATGATAAATCATTATTCAAGAATGATAAAATAATAGTTCAAAGATGATAAAACTATTATTCTTGAATAATAAAATTATCATTTAAGAATGATAAACCATTGTTTAAGAATGGTAATTGGTTAATCTGAATTTTGTCAGATCAGATCAAATCAACCTGTTAATCTAACTTGATATTAACTTAAAAATCTACTGACCTGATCTGAATTTTTAGATCAGGTTAGATCAGATAAATAGGTTAACCTAACTTAATTTAGAGCTTTAGCTAAGATCTTTGGTTTAAAAGATAGATCTTAGTTTAATGTTATATTGTTATTATTATTGAAAATAATTTTTTATAAAAATTAGAATATTAATTGTATTTTATTTTTTCAAAAATTAGATAATCATATAAAATATTCTAATGATGTAAAAATCAGGTATCTGCAAGTGAATTTCTAGTGTAAAAATCTTACAAGGTAAAAAAATATTAAATTTTTATTATTTTTAGATAAAGAAAATAAAACAATTTAGAAATAATATGACTTAGCTTAACAATAATCATATAATATTTGAAGAATACCTAGAAATAATAAGTATCAAAAAAATTTCTTCTCATGAAGAAAACTTTCTTCAATTAGAATAAAATTTAGAAAAATAAGGAAATGATTATATTAAAAATTTAATAGAAACAGATTTCTCAAATTCAAAGTATTAAGAAAAACTTAAGAAAAAAACTTATATCAGTATATTTCAGTTACTTAACAATTATTTCTAAAAGTTCTGTGTTATAAGTTATAAAATATCTTTTTATTATTATGTAGATTAAAATAAATAAAAAAATAAAATAAAAAGTTCTAGCTTTTCAATTGAAAGTCTAATAGTAATATCTAGCTAAACAGTTAATAATAAATATCAGATTTAATGATAGATAATAATGAAGTTG